ATAGTGTTAATGATAACAATGGTGGTGATGGTGATAATAATAACAAGTTGATTGTTGATAAAAAATCATTTATGGATAGTGAAATTAATGTGGCAAACAGTAATGATGGAACTTTTAAATATGGATTGAAAACCTTTAGAATTATTGATGTTGAATTCAATCATCTTCTTAATAACAATAAAGACAATAGTAGTAATAATGAATTTTTATTATTTGGGGAAGAATTACCATCATCAAATATGAAGCTTGAAGATAAATTTGATTCATTACAAAATGAAATTAGTGAGATGAAAAAAACTGATGCTGATATTTCAAATAGGATTACAAATATTGAAAAAGATTTAAAAGAGCTTATTAAATTAATGAAATCAAAGCAAGCCTAAAAAAATTTATTAATATAATTTGGTTATATTTTTTAATTTATAATATTTATAATATGGTGTAGCTTAGAAATATTCAAAATTTCACGTGCGTGATGCGCATTTTACGAACATGTAAAAAAAAAAAAAATACAAAAAATAAATATCTAAATATCATTTATCACTAACACTGCCTTCTTCTTGTTCACCACTTTCTATTAATTGTTTTATCATCATCACTTATCATTTTTGCCTTTCACGTTTTCATATTATCATTGTTGGTATTTTAATTTGTAATTAAAATAATTAAAATAGATATATATACACAATTTAAAACATACATTAAGGTGTCAATTTGTTTCTCTTTTTATCATGCATAAAGGAAAAGTATAACAATTCCTTTTAGAAGCAAGCTGACAAAATAGGAGCTGAAATTATTGCGAGCGCGTAATCTGGGTTCCTTACTTATTAGGTATTTAGTCTAGTTTCGTTTTGACTCAGAATTATAGTCATAATTATATCTATTGTCCAAATATCAACACATGACTGGTTTTCCTAGAACCTCCAATTTACAGTTGATCTCACTATTTTATGACACTTAGTCTAGATACACAGTGTAGTGTAAAAAAGTAATTTTACATAAATAAATCGAAAATGATTTACGGAGAAAAGAAAATCGGAAAAACTGATCAAGAATTCAAACTGGTCCAATTTCATAATATTGTTATTTAATCACAAATAAAATAATTGACTCGCGGAAAATATCTCAAACAACTAAAATGCAACAGACCTTTGATTCACAAATTAAATTTAAACGAATGAATTTAAATGATTGGATCACTTTAGAAATAATTCTATACAGAAGGTTTAAGAAATAAATACATTTAATTAGAATAAATTGGGATTTCACAAAGAAATTGGAGAACTAAATGATAGAACCTTTAATATGTATAAAATAAACATTGTAATTTTCTTAATTTCATGTATCATGATAAAAATCGTATAATAGTCATAGTAATTTAATAAACAACAAACTGTCTTTAATCCTTGGCCTTGGTCTTGACCTTGGCCTTGTTGTTGTCTTCGAATTTTATATTTTCATAATGACAATAAATCTATCTCTAATAATGAATTTCATACTAATCCCGTGCATAATTATTTTCTCTTATTTTATATTTGTCTCTATTTTATTATTATTTTTTATTTCATTTCTTTTCTTTTAGCAAGGTAATATTTAATGAGTTTTATTAGTATTTTTGGAAACGTACCTGATTTGAATAGGGAGTAGCAGCTAAGAAGGACACCCACCAAGAAACGTGATCAGGATATATAGTGTGAAATCTAAAGAAGATATTGTTTAGTATTTCTTAGCAAGGAATTGTTTAATGATAGTGAAAAGATAGTTTGGAGAGTAAGGTGTAAATATACATTCGCGGAAATTGTTGTTACGATTTAGTATAAATAAATTGGAAGAAATTAAATAAATAAATAAAATATTGAGATTTGCTGTGAGACTGAGATTTTTATCTCACAATAGCTTATTATTATTACCTATGGCATCTGGTTTTCCTAGAACCTCCAATTTACAGCCTTTATCTTAGAACTCGAAGTCTAGACAAAAGATCCCTAAGTTGGTGTATCCATTTATATTCCAAAGGCGTCACTTTGGCAATATGTATGTTTAATAATCAAAAGGACTCTCAACTAATAATTAAAGATTGGCCAGACCATTAATCATAACTATATATTAATTTCCACATATTCCAGTACGTGAGATTGTATCCACTTGAAACCAAGTCTATAAATAAATATGATGAAAAGGATTCGGTAGAGATTCAAATAACTATTTTACTCCATGGATATGAAAATCCAAAATTTAAAAGAGCACACTTGGGAAGTCTGGAAAATGATGATTATAATTATAAATATATGAAAAATAAATATTCATCGCCAGATTATTCGCACTAGCCTGCAAAATTTCACATTTTCACATTTTCTATCGTTGTTATCGCGTAAAATATTACGAACAATTCGAAATTTAAATTTTTTTGTCGTTAATGTATCTAAAGTCAAAGTTCAAAGTTGGTTTCACTGCAGCTAACTGAAGATACAATTTAAATGACAAAGTATGCAATTGATAGCAAGGACGAGTATGAGAGTGAGAAATGAAATATATAATTCTAAAAATATTCTTTGTTCAGATTTTGTAACATTCACATGTAATTAGTTATCAACAAGTGAATAATATGTCGTGAATATGACAAAATTCATCATCAAAACTTCAATTGTCTCAACCAATTATTGTTGTTGTGCTTTGCTTTTTTATTCATGTTTTGATCCATTTGATGACAGATTTTTATCCATGCTATTGGATATCATTCTAGCAAGCTACCATACAGAGTAATCCTGAGGTATATATACCTTGATTTCTTTTATGCAACAGATTAAATTAATTATTAATTTATTAATTGAATTACACATCCACTCAATTGTAGATTATGCTATAAGAAGATTTCATTATATATTTATCTTGATATATATTGTACAAGGACCCTGCAATCAAAAAAGAATTCTATTACCTGTCATCCCGGATTAAAAGGTTATTTTTATACCATTATGACTATTGTTCTTGTTATTTCCTCATTTTAGATAATAATTTGAATCAGAAACCATATTCGAATTACACACCAAAGCCATTTCAATAATAAGAAATAACCTATATATTGTTTATGCGCACTTTGATTCTATGTTCCCTCAAGGAAATCATCAATAAAAACTAGCTTCTCAAATATTTTTAAAGCACGGGATGGAAATAAAGTTATTCAAATCCCCTCGCCCCAAATATTGCTTACATGGGGAGGGGCGAAAAAGTTCACAACTTTTAAGAGTTTCCATAATCTATTTTCATTTATCACTTTTAATAATAACATCCGATGCATGAATGTAAAAGTGTCATTGAACACCTAAAATTTATAATAAGGTTCACGGGTAATAAATAAATCATAATTTTACTTATTTAACAACAATAACATTCTTGTATCATTTTGCTAACTTTTTTAGACCTAATATTATGCAAGAGTTTTGTTATCTGCAAGTTATAAATAAATTTTTAAGATAATAATTATATTAGCAATGTTAGTAAACATTTGATTTTTATTTTGTTAATGCATACTTTTTATTATGAATTTTAAAACATGACTTTCAAATAAAATAAATATACAGTCAGTCATGTCTCTTTATATCTTCCCTTTTGTTTTACTAAATGAATATAAAAAAGGTAATATGTCCCAACTCAAGAAATGGGAAGTTGTTGCTGAATTTATTTCTAAATATGGCTAACTCGTCTTCAATCCACCAATGAAATTGCAGTACGTATAAAAATTATTTATTAAGCGAAATCGATTTCAACCCATCGATGAAATTGCAGAACGTGTATTTTTTGAAGTATTAATATTTTGTAAAGATGCTAAATTGAATTTAAAAGGACTATAATTGTAAAAAATAAACAAGTTTATATATTTGCAATAGGATGTGACGGAATTAATGTAATGCAATCTTATCTTTAATTTTTGTGCTAAAGTTGTATATTTATTTTTTCAAGATCAAATGAAAGGTTTGGAGACTTCTTTCCACGAATTTATAAAGATCAAGGAACAAAAAAAATAAACAAAGAAGCCGTGGAATCAAGAGCGGAATTTCTGAATCATTATTGGATGGTAATAATTTGCACATACTCTTTGTCATTTTTATAATAATGAACTAGCTGATCTTCCCTTCTGATTTGGTTTCTTTATCAATTTTAGATGCTTTTTCTCTACCACTGTTGTCAATTGAATTGTTCTAATGCTTCAAAATTTTTTGTTACAATATACCGTATCTCTTCAATATATCAATATAAGAGATTTGCATGCTATATGATCAGCTTGTTTGATTGATCCTTGAATATTTGCATAATAAATCCTTTGTTTATGAATTGAAACATACTGATTATTGTTTGTATCAGGGTCCAAACATTCAATGGATGATTGATGTATTTAAAAAGAAGGCATGTTATTACTATTTGAAGATATCAAATCTTCTTTCGAATTTAGCTGAACAACAAAATGGTCTAATTTTTAATCCACTTGGATTATTTTTGATAGAACGCGAAGATTTAAACGCAAATTACAGTTTGTTCTTGTGATTTAGATGGTTTGATTTCACTTCTTTTTTTATTGGCACATTGGGGCACCTTAACGACTACAAACAAGAGTGTGTCATTTTCAAATTTTCTGATCTACTCTTTTTAAGCTTAAATCCTTGTTGTTATGCCCATTGTTAATATACTCTATACTAACTTTCCGGGGTGGAAAAATCCAATTTTATGTTAAATTCGACGTTTAGCTCCTCATTCTGCTCCTCACCATCTTCAGTAATATCACTATATTCAGGAATGTTTACTAAAAACATGGTAATTGGTATAAATTTGCTTTCGCCTTCAGAATCAGAATGTTGTAAATACATTATGACCAGTGTTTTCAGAGGACACGAACACGGGCTATCCCGTCCGAACAAAAATGTAAATTCTGCTTGTAAATAATGCGAGGGTAACTTTTTGGTCAATCACGAATATTTTACGTTTATAGCCGAGTTTCTTTAATTACACTCGTTGATTAATTGCAAGTTTTTATTAATTTATTTTACGAAATTATACTGATTACTGCCTCTTCCTTGCGCCTGGAAAGCTTTGATGAATCTGTAAGCACATTTTATGGTAGAATTAACAACGTATTACAATAAACAAAAACAACCTTTTTACGAAGCAACAAAGTCTCCTATTTATTTACTTTTACTTTTTTTTTGGCCGATTGAAATCAGCCGTACACTTGCAACAATTACTTTAACACAATATAATAAAATAATCAATATGTGATAACGACTTTAGTCAGTTATTTGTATAAGTGGTCAATAACTGTTAACATTTAACACCTTATGTTGATACTTAATCAATTAAACCCGTTTACGAAAAATTAAACAAAAACGTTTACGCTTAACAAAAACCAAAAACCAAACATTTGCTTTCTTGCTTTCTACCAAAGCGAATAACCCAAACCTCAGGGTTCTACACCATTTTGGCAACCAAACGGATAATTGAACCCACTGTTTAAATTTCTGGCCATAAAAGCGTTTTATTAAACAAAAAAAAAAAAAATTCAATTTTCTACCTCTACCCTTAAACAATATCAATATAGAATTATTTAATTACCTGGTTAACTAAACTAACTTCACTCGGTCAAAAAGTCTTAAAATTAATTATTTTTGTTAATTAATTTTTGGGAACCATTTTTTCTTTTCCTCCTCTTAATTTTTTCAACACACGCTTTACAAAAGGGTTTGAATTGTTTTGGTTTGTTTTAATAAAGATGACAAAGTAAAAAACACTTGTAGCTTGTACGACTATATAGTCCCGGAACATTTTTATAATATATAATAATAATAATAATAATAAGGAAATAATAATGAGCAATTGTTACACGGAATTTATGAACATTGGTCCGTGTCCGCCAATATTGTTGTTATTATTGTCATCATCATCATCATCATCATCATCATCATTATTATTATTATATAGTTAGGCGGACATGCTCCGTGTGCAACACCAACAAAGTTTTTAATATTAAGGAGCTAAAATTTATTATTTTTTGTGAACCAGGCCAGGTGCATATTAATCCCAGTATCAAATAAATCAATATCTATCAATCAATATCAATATATTCTTCAATTGGTAACCTTATTTTGGCCATTATCTTCATTAACTTCAACATTAACAATTTTTTATTTCTTCAGTATCTTTATCTTCTAATGATCTTTCTGTTTCGCTAGTCAACCTTGGAATATACTTTTTCATCTGAAAATTGAAAAATTCACATTCACAGCCTGCATAATAAGGCGTAATTTTAATCATCATATGGAAGGGCATAAGGTGGTTTTTTTCCACAATATAACTTTGTTTAACTCACAAGCTTTGTTTTCCATGTTCCATATCTGTCCATAATTCAATAGTAAGTAACATCAAGTCACATATTTTAATATTTATCTAAAAATATATTAATTATTAAACCATTTTTTTATTTGAATTAATAAGAACATGAAAAAAGATGATTTACTACCTTTGTATTTAGGATGCAATAAATATCTTAATATAAAAGATTGTATCCCATCACTCATTAAAGGTATCAAATGCAATGATCCATCTCCATTTGGATAACTAGATAAGATAAAAAATATATACCATAGTTTCACCTCCAAGAGAATCGTTTAAATGAACCTATACAATCCTTCCAACAGTATTATATCTTTCTTCTGGTAAACTTGTTGATAAGATATTTCTAGTGCTAAGAGTGATTACATCTGTTTTACCTTTAACTTATGACCTTTTTGCTGGAGTATTTGCATTCTTAAATTTATAAAGGATTAATTGATTAATTAATTAAATTGCACCACCAAATTAATAAAAACACCAAAATGAAACTTTTAAAGAATCAATTTGGAAAGAAAGAAAAAAGTGCAAAAGATTCTTAAATAACATTTTCAAAAAATGAAATTACAGCTCCAATAATTTATTGATTAGAACATTTGAACCTGGAGATAATATAATTTTTTTTTTGCAAAATATCACTTAAAAATCATGTTACCTGTTGAGAGTTTTGATGCACTTGGAGTACTTGAAATAAAATTTTGTCCTATAAATGCGTCATAGATAATAAATGCCAGAAATGAAAGAAAAATTAATAATAATAATATATTTTTAATAAAGAAATATCAAAGACAAAAGTTTTTGACAAACCATATGATTGTTAAAATCAAAATACTTGTTTTTAATAAAATTAAAAATGCTTTCAGATAACTTGATAACTTGGTCAGCTCTGATCAACCAATAAAAATTAATTTGACCGTGTAACGAAAATATGTTCATAGATAAATTGGTACAACAGCGTTGTAATTGAAAATTTCTTTGGTGTATGCAAGCTAATCATTAATGACTTTACTTGTAGGGTCCAAATACATAATAGAAAGTAATGAAGGCTGATTAAAAAAATATTTTTCGATGTTGGATTGTGTCAACAAGATTTTTACTCGGTTTCTGATAATGAACAAAATGAAATGGTTGGACCCGCCTGGTAACACCTTTAATATTGCCCCAAAAGAAACAAAAGCAGACAGAAGTAAGAAAACATGAAAGAAAAACACAAATTAGCCAATGTTATGACCAATATATAAGTATTCCAGCTAAAAAAAAAATTGGCGTTTGCCAGAATAAAATAATTCAAGGACAAAATGTGCAAATGAGTAATTAAAAGGTGGGATAATATATAACAAAAACAAAAGCACAAGTCAGTTGAAGTTGTAAACAATATACCAAATAAATAAACGAGTGAAACAGTTTATTTTGTAACTTCTCCACCCATACTCTTCAAAAATCTCTATTTTCCTCCAACTTCTCTTTTTCTTTGATTAATCTACTTCTCCGATTTTTCCACATCACCTTTAACCCTTCATCATCCCTCATTCATTTCTCTCTAACTTTATCCTCTAACTCGTTCAACTTCATCCCTTCATTTCTCCCTCCTTACTCTTTCTTACATCTTCTAATTCTTCTTGGATCGTTACCGTTTCAGTATAAAATTATTTTATTGATTTAGATTACCAATGAATGATAAATTCTGTCACATTATTTGGGATTTATTTTTATAGAGAAAAAGGATTAAACGACAAAAAAAATTTTTTTATAGGAAATTACATAATTATTTATGAAAATATAAGTCAAAAATTGTCAGAGCACTTGGATGGAAGGAACATTATAAAGATATCACCAGTTCACTTATTTTCAGGTAAAAAATCAAAATAACGAATCCTTCAATAATTATTGTTAAACACAATTTTATTTTGGTTTAAAAAAATGCATAACTTTCAAGAGCGAACAGTTTTCGGGTTCACTATAAAACTTATAAAAATCCAATCATATATTATAAATTACAAATAACCAATAAAATAGAATCAAGAAAAAGCCAATTCAAAAACAAAACAAACAAATCTACTCGTGATAAAAAATATTCACAAAAAGACCGAACTGTCCAAGTTTTTCATTCAATGGAATGGCCATTGAAATTCGTGTTTTCTTACTCGCAAAGGGAAAAAGAGTTGCTAATTCTACAATAATAAACTTCTATCAACGAATCCAACAGTGAGTCGACAAGTAAGAGAAGATGAAGAAGATAACAAAATCAACGAAAATATAAATAGTAATAATAATTGTCAATAGTAACAATAATAAGTGCTTATTTATCTTGTCATTGGACAAAACAAAGATTCATAAAACATATCTTTGAATGCAGAGTTCGTCCAAACAAACGTTCTTTTTATTGATAAACAATGCATTATGATGATCATTTAATTACATTTGCATTAGTGTTGTTGATCGCCAAACTATTTTGAAGAGGCGAAAGTCAAAACTAGAATGGCACAATATATATCATTTAGCTAAATAGTTTGTGAATTTAATTAATTAGTCTTCAAAAAAGTTTTCACATTGGAATTCTTTTACATTATTATTAAAAACAATCATTACTAAATGTGGTTTACTAATAAACCCAAATGTGGATTATCATTTTAATAGGACCGGAAAAACTCTATTGAATGCCACCTCCAACACTGATTCGATAGTACTTTAAAATTTAAATATCTCGCTGCCCACCTTATATTCTCATGAAGAAAGGGGCACCGGTCACACTACAATTCTCAAAGAAAAATGTCACCGGTCACACTCATTTGTGCAGATGGCCATTACTACGAAAAACACTATAATTCGCGATATTATTATTTGTACACTTGTATAAAAAAACCTCTACCTTCATTTGTTAATTTTCGTGAATTTAAAACGTTATTTGCAAATGTGGTAAAATTATTTCACTTGGAAGCAATTATCAAGTTGCAAATTTAAAAAGACATTCAAAGGGTAAAAATTGTAATTTTTTTGTGGACAATCAGACTTGCATGTTTGTTAAAAAGAAACTCATGAAATATATTGATAATTATCTGGGTGAATTCGAAAATGAAAACATGAATGTGTGCCAGGTCTTTATGACTTAAAAAAAATATTAATTGCAAGCTTTGGTGGTGGCAAAAGACCTAAAGGTGTCCCAAAACAAATCTTATCTCAAAATTTCCTGAAAACAAGCCTTTTTTTGGAAAAATACTTGATAAAATAGAAAGACAAGAGTTTGAAAGAGCATTAAAAGTTGAGGAAATTTGGCAGTTTACCATATCGAATGTGAAAAACATATAATGAAAAATGCTAATAAGTGTGTGAACAATTAAACGAATCAAGGTGCATGGGTTGAAAGGCCTGCAGGATTTTTGGATAATTTATCATATATTTCTATTAAAGTTTATATTCCAGTATCTCGACAATATTTTTCATATGAAGGATTGGCAGGTGATTGATTCATACTACATCACAAGATGTAGTTTATTTTCTAGGGGCATGTCCCATATTCTATTCTAATTTGATTTAGTAGATAATGAATTTTTGCTTTCAAGAATTTTTAATTGATAAATAACAAATAATTTATATGCTTGACATTTTGATTTAGCGGTGACATGAAATAGAGTTTTTCCGGTCTTATTTTAATAATAATAATAATAATAATAATAATAAAATTTACTGTTACGCAGTTGTAATAATTTATACTGTTTCGAATTTCATTTTAATAAAAAAAAATTTATTGTTACACATTTGTATCTATTCTTTGTTAATTAAAAATTATGATATCATTTATTAAATAATAATGATGTGGTGGTAGGTGAAAATTTCACCACTAGGTCTGCTGCTTCTATGATTAGTGATGATTAATGAATTTGAGATATTCATAATATTACGAAAGACAAAATTTCTTTAATTGTGGGTAGGTTTGCCATTGGGGATGATAAAATTAATGTAATGTGAACGAACAGTTTTTTTTTTATGCCTCATCAATATACGACCTTCCTGTTTCGCCGCCATTAGGAGCTTTTTCGCCACATGGGGGTCAGTTATTAAAGAGAGCATATTTTCTCTAAAAAAAGATGTTTATAATGGTGTCACCTAAAGAACAAAAGTTCTTTGTAAATTCAATAATGGCAAAGCAATAAAAAGAGGTTCAATAATTTCAACTGTTGGAGAAGTTAGGAATCATAAAAACAATTTGGGTTCCTGCGTGAGTAAGTTGAGTGGATTAACATAAAGAGTAATAATGAAGACAAGAATGATGCTGCAGAGACAAGAGTTTCTAGGAAAAAACGTAGATTCGAATCAGCAATTAACGAATTTGATGATAGTTCTAACATTGACAAAAATAAAAGATCAGGCATGGAGATGGAAAGATGACTTTTTATGTAGTCGGGTGTTTTGAAAGTTTTATTTTAATCAAAAAATAATGACTTTTTACAATTTATAAAGGCAAAAGACAAAAGATTAAAATTGAAATCGTCTTTGGATGGTAACTATTGCCGTGGTTTGGTTTTATCAATTCACGAATGACGATAATATTGAAATCTCGTTATTGACACTAAATGATTTTCTTTTTGCGAATAATATAATTATCCCAAATAAAAATATCGCAAATAATTGAATTACCATTGCTAGTACATCTATATTTTAAATAAAATATCACAACAATAGGAATTAATAATAAAGATAATAATATGCTGTTTGACTCGCCCTTTTTTGGTTTGTCCTTTTTAATGTTTGCATAAGGGCATGTTGCGTTGTTATGAGCAGGGTACCTTCATGGAATTCCATTTAATTGTTAGAATTTTGATTTTGATTGTGTGGGAACGGTTTGTTTGGTTTATGGAGTTACTAAAAAGGATGGCTTTAAACATAACACTATCCATAATTTTTTTTTTTGAGAATTGATTGATGTGAGAGATGTTTTATAAATATTTCCTATACTAATACGTTTGTAAAATTTTTTAAAATTGTGCGTAGTAACTGCAATAAATAAGAAGCTTGCTGATCACGTATATATAAATTGTAAATTTTTTCCAGTTCGTATGATTATCCATCAACAATAACAAGCTTGTTTTTTTTGCGAGCTACACTTCATGTTCCAAGGTCATTTAGCAGTTTAGGATGTTATCTTTTTTATTATAAAAAAAATTATACTATGACTCTGTTCCCCAAAAGAAAGAGTCAGGTGAATCTAGTTTCATAATTATTGAAATTATCCCATCACTACTCTATTTCCTGAAGGAAAGCACGGGAAGAACATAATCATGGCCAAATTTATTAATCTCCCATCATATTTACTTGAGAGGATGAGTGGGTGGGTGCATGTAATAAATCGATGAATGCCTTTACTATTTAAACATTCATTATTCTCCCTCGTTATGAAAACTTTTAAAAATTTATCTGTTATTTTGGCAAATAAAAATAAAATTCACTTCAGAAAATAAATATGTTAATGTCACTAAATATCAAATGAAAGCTTATGCAAAATCTAATCTTTTAACTTTTTATCTAACAAATATTTTGAGAATTGTCACATAATTCTTGACCAAATGCTAAATTATTTGGAGATGTTTCTTTAGAATAGTCAAAAAATTTACCATTATCAATAGATTTAGCAGATAATACAGAATATAGAATATTATAGGCCCCATATTCTGATAAATGTGATAAATTTTATTTAGAAATTGCTAAATAATATTAATAATGAATGATTTCCAAGTTTTGTATCGATAAAAACCAGGTGCACTGATACAGATATAATATTTGATAAAAAAAAAAAGTCGTAATTTAATTTATGAGAGTTGTAAAATAAAATAAAATATACACTATATGAATTTGTGAATGATAATTCATTACTATACATTATTTGTTGAATAATAGTAGAAATTGAGTATAAGGCCACTATATTTTCCATAGTCTTCAATTTCCATTTTTTTGAAATTTTTTTAAATCAGACAAATAAATTTGGCATCACTTTAAGCAGATGAAGAAACATTATTGAAAGGTTTTTGCACAAAATTTTTCCATGGTTCCTAACAACATTGTAGTCATTAAATAATACGATTCAGTGTATAAAATTCGTGTGCATAGTGTGCACAGCGCACAACCCCCTTAAACTGTACACAATGAGACAATTTTTAAACAACACTGATTACGATAATAATAATAATTAAAATTTCTAAATTAATACCTGCAAACAATTCATCCATACAAATCTTGTGATATCGCAGTTTATATGAAAATACTACAATCATACGAATTTAAAAGAATTTATTATATTATGAAGATCATAACAAATATTTATTATTTGCCGAAGCAAAAATAAATTTTCCGAAAAATTTAAAATTTATTATTATTATTGCCGTGAGAAAATTTCGTCATTCGTCATGTGTTGTGTCCTAAAAGCCAATTATATAATATTTATTACAATATTATTCATTGTGTGATAATTGATAATTTATACAATAATAGCTCGATTATTTAAATATTTATAAATAAACTAATTATTTCCCACGAAAGTTCACTTTTAAAAAATAAATTTATTACAAAAAGAAAATTATCATAATAGTTGAAAAAAAACGAATAATCAATTAATATTTAAAAATGTCATTCCTCAATGGTAATAATAATGGAGTCGATCGTGCAAGCTACGAAGGATTTGATCATATTAAATTCTGGGTAGGGAATGCTAAACAAGCAGCATCATACTATTGTACAAGGCTTGGATTCAAACATATTGGATACCAAGGTTTAGAAACTGGTAATAGAAAGTTTGTAAGTCATGTGGTTCGTCAAGGCACTATAACCTTTGTGTTTCAATCACCATTAAATCCCAATGATCCCACAATGAGTGAACATTTAACAAAGCATGGCGATGGTGTCAAGGATGTTTCATTTACCGTCAGTGATTGTAGAAGTTTATGGGAAGAAGCCATTAGACATGGGGGAAAATCAGTTTGTGAACCCTGGGAGGAAAGAGATGAAAATGGAGTTGTGATTATGGCAACAATTTCTACTTATGGTGATACTGTTCACACTTTGGTTGAACGTAGAAATTATCATGGCGAATTTTTACCTAATTATGTTTCTAGTAAATCTCATGATCCATTAAATGATAAATTATCGCCTTGTAAACTATTATATTTGGATCACGTGGTCGGAAACCAGCCTGACGACGAGATGGTTAGAGCATGTGAAGTGTAATTATTATTACTATTGTTGTTGTAATGATACGTTGTATGTATGATACCATTTATATATATATATTAATATTTATCTATTTCTTTAGATATGAAAGAATTTTTAATTTCCATAGGTTTTGGTCGGTGGACGATAAACAAATCCACACCGAATATTCGGCACTTCGTTCAATTGTAATGGCAGATCAGAATGAAAAAATCAAAATGCCAATAAACGAACCAGCACTCGGAAGAAGGAAATCACAAATACAAGAATTTGTTGATTATTATGGTACGTATACAGTCGACCCCTCTATAGTCACCCCTTTATAATCATTCCCACTTTATAAGCACATTATCCTTGGAACCACTTATAAGAAGACCTCCCTTATAATCACACATCACATACCTTTTTTATAATCACATTTGTTTTTTCAGTCACGAAGGGTGTGAATACAGAGGGTGTCGGTCGACTGTATTATATATTTACTTATTTGTGTGTAGATTTTATAATCCATTTAATTTTATTTATATAATTAATTCTAAATTTTTAGGCGGGGCAGGAGTTCAACATATTGCATTAAGAACTGATGAGTAAGTGTAAATAATTATTTGTAGTTTTATATTCTATTATTATGTTTAGCTCGTAATAATAATAATATAATTTCTGTAGTATAATCACTGCGGTTAGCAATCTTCAAGCTCGTGGATTAGATTTTTTGACAATTCCAAACACATATTACGAAGATCTAAAAGATAGATTGAGGCATGCTAGTATCAAAGTTATCGAAGATATCAACATATTACAAAAATTACATATTTTGGTTGATTATGATGAAAATGGTTATTTATTACAGGTAAATTTCTCAAATTTCCAAATTTTTTGATTTTCTTGTAATTATTAAATCCAACGCTTTATATAAATAATATATATAAATTCAGATATTTACAAAACCAATGCAAGACCGACCGACACTTTTTATCGAAATAATTCAACGTAATAATCATCAAGGTTTTGGAGCTGGTAATTTCAAGGTGATTATATATATATTTCCCATTAGGTGGGGAATAACTTGGTAAATATAACTTTATTAAATTATTAAATTATTTGTTTTTTTTTTTTTTTTTGAAATGATAAAAGGCATTATTTGAAGCAATAGAACGTGATCAAGCTGAACGCGGTAATTTATAAATAGTTAATTACAATAGATTTTTTTTTTTAAATTTTGTAATTTATATTTTAATATATTAACTCTCATGCAAATAAATTTTGAGCAAAAAGTTTTTATTTATGTAATCATTATTTTCACTTTTCCCTATATTTGCGTCACGACAAATTTTTAATGGAAAGCAAAAAAAGCCGAATTTTGATTTCTGCCCATTTTGACATAATTACATGAATTATTATTATTATAGGCCCAGAAATCTATTCGAGTTTAGAAACTTTACCCATACTTGCACAATGGTATTTTAAGAAGCTGCTTCATATGTCGTATATATTAAATTTTATTGAAAATTGACATGAATGCGATTCGCTGCAGTGAAACCAACTTTGAATTTTGAATTTAGATCCATTAACGACAAAAAAGACTTAAATTTCGAATTGTTCGTGATATTTTACGTGTTAATAACGATAGAAAAAGTGAAAATGTAGATTTGACATATCATCAAAGTGTAATTTTGCGAATATCTGGCGGTGAATATTTATTTTTCATATTAATATATTTAATTATAATCATCATTTTCCCAGACTTTCAAGCGTGCTCTTTCTCTTTAAATTTTTTATAACGTGGAAAGTTCAAAATTTTTGGTATTTCAAAATTAAACCATTACAATATTTTTAGGATTTTCATATCTTTGGAGCAAAATAGTTATTTGAATCTCTACCAAATCCTTTCGATTGTATTTATTTATAGACTTGATTTCAAGTGGATACAATCTCACGTACTGGAACATGTGGCAATTAATATATAGTTATGACCAATCTTTAATTATTAGTTGAGGATCTTTTATCTAGGCTTCGGGTTCTAAGATAAAGGCTGTAAATTGGAGGTTCTAGGAAAACCGGATGTGTGCCATAGGTAATAATAGTAAGCTATTCTGAGATCAAAATCTCCATCTCACTATTCCTTTATTTATTTATTTAATATTAATACAATTTCGTGACAACAATTTCCACGAATGTATATTTACACCTTACTCTTCAAACTATCTTTTCACTATCATTAAACCATTCCTTGCTAAACAATACTAAATAATATCTTCTTTAGATTTCACGCTATATATCCGCCCTCTTACGTATATACTCAAAGCTAACTAGGGGGTAAAATAAAATGGTATTCTTTAATTAATATCTTAAAACATGAGCAAAATCGATTTGATAACATTTCCAGATAATATTTGTGATATGTATATTCTGCTATAGTCTTCTGTGGAAATATATTATATAAAATATGGCAGAAGACTACACCTTGACCTACCCATTTAACGATACGTTTTTGGATATATTTTCAGGGTATGTAACATCAGATTTATTCATAGTTATATATTCGCCTTCTCATATATATAGTCGAAGCTAACAACTGCTAACAATTCAGCACTTCATGTCTCATCCCGCGCAAGCGAATTCATTGTAAAAGCCAAAATAAGCATTTTCCTGGAGTGCTACTTATAGGTGACCATCCACACATGTTGACAATGATCATGAATGTTACATGGTGGAGACTGAAAATGCAGAAATCGGCCAAGGTTGCTAAGCTGACATAAGATATCAAATGACTCATAAAATGCATTTGACCCATCAAACTCGCGATGATGCTTACCCGGTAGCATAACCTACCTCAGTTATTTTATTGCAATGGAAATCAGCCAAGATCACTAAGCTGACATATGATATCAAATGACGTATAAAATAAGTTTGACCCATCAAACTCGTGATGAGATCAACCTGGTAGCATAACCTACCTCAGTTATTTTATTGCAATGGAAATCGGTTATAATTACCAAATCGGTATACAAATAATGTTATTGAATTTGACTAATATGACTTGAGTTTTGTAATCTACACGTCACACTTAGGGTTATATTATAAGTCAAGTGACTTAAATTTTATGACACACCCATCAATCGAATGACTTGAGATTTATGATCTACCCATCACTCTAATGACTTGAGTTTTGCAGTTCACACGTCATACATAACCTAGACTAAGTGGAAATAACATAATTATGTTATTTCCACTACATTAGAAAAACCATTTGGTAATACTAGAGGAAATCCTCGTTTCATTTATTATGTTGGAAGAGTTGATTATTTAGAAAAATGGTTATTGAAAGCTGAAAATAAATTTAATGCATTGGTTAATGGGGTGTTACATATCAGTATAAACACAAACATAGTTGAGCACACTTATAAAAAACTATATGTAAGGATTTTTTATTGGGTGAAATGTAG